AATAGAATGAGTAGTAATAATGATCGTAGTACTGCTGATAGCAGTAGTCTCCTGCTCATGAGCTGAGTGCGTGGCTGGTCTAATGGCTCCAGTGTGGCCGCCGACGCAGACAACCGCCTGTTTACCTCCGAGAGTGAGCTCAGTCTCCTCGGCGCAAACTTCATCTCCGAGTAGACAAAGCGCGCATGTATCGCTGCTTGCAGTGACCCGGAAAATTCGACCTCTAAACCTCCAACCTACATTCTCCTTCTCTGCTACATCCGGTGCTGATAGTTGCTTGTGGGCAGCATCTGCCACCGCCCCCGCAACGTCAACAGATCTTGCGGTTACCCTTCCTCCGGCGGTGACGTCACAGCAATCACGCGCTGAAAGTTTTCCCAACGTCACGACCGTGACGATTCGGAGACTTTTAATGTTCATTGTGGCGTGTCCGGTAGCCGCCATGTCGTCCGCATCAGTGGTGAGCTTGCAGACCTTCAAATCTGCCTTGTATATTCAGTCGACCATCATAGTGACTCCTGCCACTAATATCCTCCCATGGGCGTTGCTCAGCGCGGCATCATAGCTGCATTCCAGCAACTCTGAGCATGACCCCAATGTTGGCAGCTAGGCGCCACTCATAATCTAGGAAAGTGTAGACTCTTGTCTTTTGCATGCGCTCACTGACAATGTTATGTATGACCTTTCACCTTGTTTTCAAGTGTTGCATCATGCGTGTAGCACGCGTGTCTTCACACACCTGCACGGGCTCCTCTCTCTGTGTGCTTGAAATAACGCAGCTAAAGCGGGCATACAACGAAGCCTGTCCTTTTTTTCACCTCCGCATGCACAGAAAGTGCTTGTTATGTCCTAACCAGCGCCAACTACTAACTATTATACTGAACACACGGCAATCGCCAGCGTTCCTTGCCTTGCCTCGCGTCAATATTCCTTATGTGAACTGGCAAAAGAACAAGCCCGTGCCTCAATGGTTAGAGGGTCCGGGTTCGAGGCTAGGATGGTGCACCACTTGGGTTTGGGTATGACTGGCTGATGACTATTAATGAGTCAGAAACGACAGTTCCGGTCTCTCTTGTCTTAGCTGGTTATCCTCATCTGCCTAGCCACTGTGTGCGGCTGCTGGTGGGGGGCTCGTGAACGAGCCCCAAGGCAG